CTCGATATGCACGAATTGACAGAATCATCTGCGAAGCCCTGTTGTCTCAGACTGAGGTAATGCTTTACAATAAACTTCTTTAGTTAACATTAGTTAATGCATTAACTAACATTAACAATGAGCAATACATTTGTTTATTATATTTTTATATTTGTTAACGTTAGGTAATAAAAATCGTCTCCAGGTTACGAATGTAACCATGGTTCCCCGAAGGGAGGCCGCAATGTAGAGGGAGCTCTGGATAGAGGATGGTCTCAACAACCTCGGTTGAGAGACCGGAAGCTATGAGTTGTGCCTCCTCAGAGGTCACACCCACAGCTTCCACAGCTCCGGGCGGGGGCGCGCCCTCCGCCTGTGAGAGGAGATCTCTCCTGACGGGAATCTCCCATGGAGTGCCGTATAGGAAAGAAATCAGGTCCGAGACCATACTCGACTCGATCCGAGCAGGAGACATACTGTATGTGCCTACATCGTGGTCGAATCCCACACCACGCCCAGATAAGTGGTTCTCTGTACTGGAGAATGCACACTTTTCTTGGCGTTAAGTCTTAACCCCAGCTCTTTCGTGTGAGCGAGAACGACATCTTGATGTCGAACCGCCATCCGCTCTGACTGAGCTAATATCAACCAATCGTCGATGTGATTGAGTCGTGAAAGTGTGGGTTGAGAGTGCAAGGCCAAAGGAAGAACTCGGTGTTGGTAAGCTTTTGCCCCCAAAAGCAAACCTCTGGAACTTCCTGTGATGAGGAAGGATGGAAACGTGCATCTTTTAGATTGATCGTGCCAAACCAGTCCTCAGACTTGATCTGAGACACAGCTTGTTTGAGTGCAAGCGTGCTGATCTTCAGTCACACTGCTACGTGAGGAGGGACCACCTCGATGGCCTCCTTCCTCAAAAGAGTAACTACTTCTGTTCCATGACCAGAGCCTGCTCGGGACCCACCATAGTGGGGATGACCCCGTTTAAATTGAGGCGGAGGAGAACTGGATTCTATAGCCTCACTCTACAGTGTGCAGGACCCACAGTCTCTCGAGACTGATCTCTGGTGTACCCAGAACTAGCTGCTCTTGATACCTCCATAGAGGTAGCGAGCCTCTTAGTACCGCTATTTTTCCGGGCAGTAACTGAGAGAAACGCTCGCTGGAGACCGCTGCGCCCTGTAACACGGCAGGGTTGGCAGACCGACCTCCTGAGGTCACTGAGGAGAGACGGGCACCGTGTAATGCGGTGT